CACTAACAACACACAAGATATGAAATAGAGAATCTCAGTCATTGAAGACTCAGTCGAAGAAACAGACATATCAGTTACAGAAAACATTAAACCTAAAAAAAACTCTTGAGAAAAAATCACAAAGGCAATCTGGGACACCCTGAAAAGACTAAATATAAGATTAGTAGGAATAGAGGAAGGTGAAGAAATGCAGCTCAAATGCCCCCCAAATTTTTTTTAACAAAATCATAGGAGAAAATTTCCCAAAACTAACAAAGGAGATGCTTATCAAAGTACAAGAAGCATACAGAACATTAAATATAATGGACCAGAAAAAGTTCCCTTGGCACATAATAATTAAAACAATAACTATACAGAATAAAGAATGAATATTAAAAGCTTCAAGGGAAATAGACTGTGTAGCATGTAAAGGAAGACCATTATAATAATACCTGACATTTCAGTGGACAATTTAAAAGCCAAAAGAAACTTGATATATGTGCTAGAGACTCTAAGAGACCAGAAATGCCAGCAGACTACACTACAAAGCAAAACTTTCAATCACAATACATGGAGAAAATCAGACATTCCATGATGAAACCAAATTTAAGCAATACCTCTCTACAAATTCAGTCCTGTAGAAGACTATACAAGGTAAATTCCAACCTAAAGAGATAATCACCTGGAAGGCTGGAGGGAATGTTATCTGACAGTTCAGTGATCTTTTTGCTATTCTATTGAGCCAGACTTCCTGAATCCCCCCAAATTCTGGGCATTGTTTAGGCCCTAATCCTGAGCTCTTTCTCACTGAATATAACCCATTCTTATGAAAAAGGTCCCAGTCACTTTGCATCCTCCCCAATAGAATCTATTCTTGTGTTTATCACAAATCTTTCCTCCTTAGATCCTTGCCTCGAGCTCTGTCTGTCTGTCTGTCTGTCTGTCTATCTGTCTGTCTGTCTGCCTGTCAATAAAACCTCATTCTTAATTTTAAAGATCACAGGGTCTTTGCTACATTGTTAGGGAGTTTCTTTATCACTATGCATAGAGCTGTGTTGTAATAACTGACACATGTAAACCATTTTACAAAGGCGTACTGTGGTTAAAAGAAGAATAAACCATGAGGCCAGACTCTGAAAGTTTTGACACAATGCCTGCAAAGACGATACTGACACAAGCTTTATTCTTCACCATGGATCATCACCCTGCAGGCCACGAGGCTTGAAGGGTCCACGACAATACCCCTCATCCTCCTCATTTCCGGTTTTCCAGGATCCTTTGGAGCCTCTAGCCCACCCCCCGAATGCCCATGTAAACAGCTGGCAAGTATCCGGCACCTCTCTGTAGGGTTTATGCTCTACCCCAGACTGCCTGGATGCTCTTAGGCCATTTAATACCTCATTTCTCTATTAGTTCATCTTCTTTTTATGGGAGGAGTGACAGATTCCAGCAGAGAGCCCAAAAGCCCAGGGCCTAGGAATTGGCCTATAGGAGGGGGCATTCAGAGAGAGATGTTTGGGTTTTGTCAGGAAGATGACTCAGGAGGGTGAGGTGGAGAGCAAGGAGCATGGACCCTCACCTCCACACCTTGCCCCTAAGACTTTCAGAGCAAACCTCTCACCTGTATTGAGTCAGGCCCAAGAGGGCCAATAAAGTCTTTGTTGGAACGTGGGGCCCAAATGGGCAATAAATACGTAGGGGTTTGAAGCAGCTGCTTCAGGAGATGCTGACTTGGACAAGCCCTTCTTTTTCTGGGCTGGCTGCTGTTTCTCTGAGTATAAAGAGGAGAAGCTGGCTCAGATGTCTAATTTTTTTTCTGTGCTGGCCTTGGTTATAGGCTTTCCTGATAGAGGCGGCCCCTAAAACCCGATTCTGCACTGGGTTTGTCCAGAGTGGTGGTGGAAGTGTTGGGCAAAAGGCCATGACAGGGCATTTTGTAGCCTAAACTGGGCTCAAACTTGCTATATAACTGTTTCTGAACTCGAAATTCTGATCATTCTGCACCAATCCCACTAAATAGCTACCTCACAAGCTTGTGTCACATTGTT